CTTTTAGCGGCGGAGGCTATGATTGGCTGCATGCGGCCGCAGCGTAGGAGGAAGGAGGCGTTGGTACTGCTGGGTGGTGTTTCGGACATTGCTGAACTTGTAACCAGATATTTTTTGTAATCTTTTTGTGATATTTTTTTCTTTTTAACTATATAATTTTGGAAAATGATACAGTCCCGTTACGAAATCATTCCGTCGAGATTTATAATCGTCACGAATAGTTGATCTAACGGTTACAAATCCCGATGGAAGCATTTCCCTCTAATTTTTGTGATATTCATTTAGTGTGCAAAAGCAAAAAAAATTTACCAGTAATAACAATAATAATAATAATAATAATAATAATAATAATAATAATAATAATAATAATATATTGTAACCAGATATTTTTTGTAATCTTTTTGTGATATTTTTTTCTTTTTAACTATATAGTTTTTGTGATATTCATGTAGTGTTGTGCAAAAGCGAAGGAATTTTACCAGTAATAATAATAATTAAAAAAAAAACTTATTTTTGAAAATATTATCACTTTTACTATTGGATGCCATCATTTTTAATACTTTGTGGGTGCTTAACAAAATTTTTCTACATAAGTTTGATCCATACACACTCATATACTTGCTAAATTTTTGTTTTGTTTGACCAATATACACTCATACAGGTGTGTGGTATCAAATAGACCTCCGACCGGCTAGAACGAGTTGGAAACGCCTGGATCTCGAGCTGGTTTTCGATTGAATGTCTTCTACCTGCAGAACTCTCACATCGGAGGGGGTCTTCGGTAAAGAGCCTCCGATGCTTAAATGAGTAAGTGATGAAGTACAGAGAGAGGAAGCTCTCTCTGTAGTATATTGAGTATAATAAAGAATGTAATGTGCTTTTAGGCATACCTCACTCCCTTTTATAGGGAGAAAATACCTTAGGGTCCAAGTCTTGCGCGTGAGCTCCCCGATATCGAGCACATGAGTTGCCTCAGTTGTAAGAGCTGTCAGAGTAATTCGGGCTGTCAGAGACAGTTATAAGGCGTGGACCACTAGGGTGGTGCCACGTGGTTTTATCCATGTGAGGGGTTTAATTACCCTAATATTCTTCCTTATCTCTAAACTCTCCTCATTAGGTGGCATGATTGTTCATTTGACTCCATTCCTCGAGTCGGGATGTCATCGATAGTGGACGTTGTTATCCTGTCTATCTGGTTGAATAAAATACCTCTTCCAGTGACCTTCGACCGGGCCCTCCGAAAACCCCTATTCGACTTCTCGATATTATCCTCTGGCTTCTCGTGCCTTCTTCGACCATAAGGTCCTTCGACCTGAGAAATCTTCTTTCTCCCTTCAACCCGATGACCAGGTCTGTCTGATTTGGTTGCTTCTCCGATCTAATCGACCAGGTATGGTTATCCACATGTGTAAATGTATATGACTCAATATGGTGAAAAACATAATAATAGTAGGGTAGAACTTATTGACATTATCCCAAAATTTAAATAATTATTTGAATGTGGATAATTAGCACGAGACTTAAAGGTAGCTGGAACTCAATAGTATCTAATTAAATCAGTTTTGTTGCTCTATATATATATATATAATTATAGTACTAAGAAATATATATAAAGTATTGCATATTTACCTACACATTTCTATATGTAATCATTAATTATATATGAAAATATTGCATTTTATAGTATGCCTGCACTCTTAAAAAAAAATATATAAGTATAAAGAGTCAACTCATATAACATACAACAGTTATAGGATGCCTAACTTGTGAATTTGTTTTTGTTTCATTCAAATGTTGACTTATAAATATATTTGGGTCCTCAATTAATTAACATAAATGAATATAAAATAATTTCCCACGTTCATAGATAAATATATATGTTTTGGTCATTATTATGGGAATTAGTAGATGACCATTTTGAAAAATTATTGTGCAATTATTCCCAACGTCAAATGACTACATAATACAATGAATGTAAAAATTAAAAATAAACATTTCGACCCATTTACATTAAAAATAAAAATTGATAGCTGCAATACATTTTTTGACTTACATGATGAATGTAAAAATTAAAAATAAACATTTCGACCCATTTACATTAAAAATAAAAATTGATAAATGCAACTATCGATCAATTTATAAATTTCTCACTTCATTTTCTTGTAAAAATAAAAAATAAAAGAAGAATGCCAAACTAAAGTTGTCGGGTTTTATATAAGCCCGGCATAAATTGGAATATTGTTGATAGCCTAACAATCCAATGGGTTTAGCTTACCCAGCCCAACTTATACTCGAAGGATTCTTCTTATTCTCTTTTTTATTCAATTAGTAATCAACCTAAAAAATACTTTAAAAATAACAATATAAAAAAAAAAAAATCATAATTTAATACATGAAAAAAAAATATGAATTAAGAAAATAATTCTCAAAATTAATTTTGATCAATTAATTGATATGAAAGAGCCGTTACAACTATTTTTTTATGATAATATACCCGGCCATTTTCATGAGTGAGTGTGACTTAAAATTTGAGTACAATTTTGTAACTCCTTTGATTGGCTTATGCTCATAATTTATGGCATTCAAACAAATTATTTTGTAACTTAAAAATGAAATTGAATGCTAAAAATTTTAGAGGGAAAATAAAATTTAATGCATGACTAGTAATCAACCTGTGCATTTGCACAGAGAATAATACTTTAAAAAGATAACAATATAAAAAAAAATTATAATTTAATTTATGAAAAAAATATGAATTAAACAAAATTGATTTTGATCAAATAGTTGCTATGGAAGAACCGTTCCAACCATTTTCTTTATGCTAATACACCCGGTCATTTTCATGACTGGGTGTGACTTAAAATTAGTACAGTTTTGTAACTCACTTGATTAGTTTATGCTCATAATTTATGGCATTCAAGCAAGTTATTTTGTAACTTAAAAATAAAATTGAATGCTGAAAATTTTGGAGAGAAAATAAAATTTAATGCATGATAATAAAATTAAATGTTTTGTTGCTCCTCTTTATATATATATATATATATACATAATAAATTTTTTTTTTACTTTTGGTCTTCAAATTGTATTTTCCTTTTTTTTTCTGTAAGATTTTTTAGCTAAAAGACAATAGCAACAAGCCAACAACAATAAGAAGAAGAAGGCAATACACCCATGTAAGATGATTTTTTCGCAAAAGAAGCCAAATGAGTAGCATCATGCTTTATATAAGCTCTCCAAGTGCGAGTTAAAGAAACCTCCACGTAAGCTAATTTTCTCGATTGTAATGTGGAAATTAACACGTGTATGCAAAACTACCTTGATTTTCAATCGTTTAATTGTCCTGGGCAAATTGGTTTTTGGTCATTGCCTTCATGGGATTTTTAGCTATTGATTTTGCACATCTATATGAATTTGTCTATATGCAAGTAAATTCATAGCTAAAACTTAATGGTTACATTTATATTATCACATTTTCACTTTTGGAAAATTTATGAAAAAAAAAATTGTTTATTTTTAACTTTGTCTATCTAATATGAACGCGAAAGTAATTACACGTGGTGTTCTCATTGATGTTTTTCTCGTAACATTGGATATTAATTATCAATAATAAAATTTGTCTCATCTTTTCTCGTATCAATTTTGATGGATATGTCAACATAGCAAATGTCACAGCGTTCGTGAATTAAAAAATTTAAAAACGACTTAATCGTGAATGTTCAAATATATTTCCATTTTGACTTTTTTAATTGTTAATTACATCTCACCTCACATAAGAATATATTCTTTTGGTAGCATGGTGTTAAAACAATTTTTCATCCCTTTCAAGAGTTTTACTATGGTTTAATTTATAGGAAAATGAATCATTCTGTTGAAAATAACCGTTATGTCATGATTGGTATAATGGAATGGAATTTGGTAAGAATTGAATGAGTTGAATAATGGAATAATTACAGGAAATGAATTAAACAAGTTTTGTCATTGATGCGTTATGCCATAATTGGTATAATGGAATGGAATTTAGTAGGAATTGAATGAGTTGAAGAATGGAATAATGATGAGAAATGAATTAAACAAGTTTTGTCATTGATGCGTTTGGTATGCAGAAGGAATAAGATGTGAATGGAATAACATTATCATTCTTTATTATCACTCTTTTATACAAAAAAATAATATTTATATTATTTTTTTATTTAGGATAATAATGAAATTGTTTTATTTCTTAAAAAATACTATATTTTAATAAATAAATTTTTGTATTGTTACGCTCATATATATTATATAATAAATTATTGAATTGTGTATTCATATACATATTAACTAATACGAATATATGTTGACGAATATAATTTTTTATATTATAATTCAATTTATGAATTAATATATAATAAATATGATGTATAAAAATATAATAATATATTTTTAAATTATATATAAATGCTTTGTTTTTAGTTTTATTTTTATATAAGTATTTAATATATTTAATTAAACAATAAATAAAAGTAAGTTTTCAAATCTTTTATTTGATTTTTATTTTTAAAATAATTTTATTTAATATATTTTAATCATGATTTATAATATATATTATGTATTTATTTTTATTATTATTTGTTAATTTTATTTTTTGACAAATTGATTCTTACAAACATGGGAATGAGAAAACTTCCATTAACTATGGAATGATTAATCTCATGGATATAGGTTTTGTCATTCTTATTGGAATAGTCATTTCTTTCCAAAAAATATATCAATCACGAGATAAGGAATAGGGCCAGAAAGATATTATTTACATATAATATCTCGAATTAGTTCCCACGTGTAACCCTGTGATTGGCCAATAAACGATAAGAAATTACAACCACAATCTCACACTTCCATACCCAAATATATATCCTCACCAAAACCACCGAAAAAAGCATCATACCCTTTCCCAACACGTTTATCACTTTGTAATTGATCTACGAAACCAGTAAAAAAATTCTACAAATCGATTCAGCCATGGCAGCCGTAGCCGGAGTTAGCATCACAAGCCCCAAATTCTTCATCGCCGCGTCAAGCTCCTCGAAACCCGGCCCAATTAAGCTCTCCGTCCTCAACACGCCGTGGAGAAACAGCAGCGCCGCCCAGATCCGGCGGATGCGCGCGACGGCGGCGGCACCGGAACAGATTTCGGAGAAGGTTGTGGAGAGCATCAAGAGCGCGGAGGAGGCTTGCTCGGAGGACCCGAAGAGCGGTGAGTGCGCGGCAGCGTGGGACGAGGTGGAGGAGCTGAGCGCGGCGGCCAGCCACGCCAGGGACCGCCAGAAGGAGGCCGACCCGCTCGAGAACTACTGCAAGGACAACCCGGAGACTGACGAGTGCCGCACGTACGACAATTGAGATGTCGAATTTCGTTTGGGTTAAATTGGGGGCGTCAGATTTTATGTAATGTTTTGATGATGTTACTGTGATTGTATAACGAGGAAAACTTGAAGCTTTTGCTGGGTTAATTGAACTTATACAATATAGTTTTGATTCGTACTAGAAATTGTGTAATTTCTTTTAAGCCTCTGTTGTTGTAGTTAAGAGAGGTGTAAATTCTAAGCCTCTGTTAGTACTTTTAAATTTTAACTGCTATGCCTGTGCTCAACCTTATCATGATTAAAGGTTTAGGACCAATTTCTTAATGCTTTGGCTGTTAGGCATAGGCTTCAAAACTTTTAGCTGCTATGCCTGTGTTCAACCTTATCATGATTTATGGTTTCATTTTGAAGTTAAAAGGCATACAGTTTAAGATTGCGGACCAATTTCTCATGCTTAGGCATAGGTTTCATTTTGAATATAAAAGCAACTGGATATTTGGATTTGAAATTTTTAATTCATGTTTGAGCGACGTACAAGTCATGTCCAGTTTACTCGTTGATACTTGATAGTGCGAAAAAGGACAAATCTCCAACGAACCCAGAAATATAATATTGGGTATTGTCATGCATTCACTTGAATCTTAGTTGCATTCAAGCTGGCTCATATAATATTGGGTATTGTCAAAGCTCAACATAGATTTCTAGCAGAAATCTTAACATAGATGAAGAAAAACACTGATGGCATTCACAATAATGCAATTCCATTAGCAGAAATTTTACATCAACCATAGATATAGTTTCCATCCACTGAAGACATAATCGACAACCGTATGTTTCAATACATAATTTACTAATACCATTGAGCAATACATCAAGATGAGTTTATGTAACAGAACCAACCATGAACCCAACACAAGAAATCCATCAAACATAAGAGCAAACACAACTAAAACCCTGAAAAGAACTCAAACCACCACAAAAATAACACCCTAAAACCATAAACCTTGAACATCATCATAGCAAATAGGCAATAGCTCAAAACCATCAATACCTAAAAAATGTCACATCACGACTAAGATCCACCCAGACACAAGACCACCACATGAAAATCAAAGGAGCCATTTCCAATCAGAACTTGAAAATATCAACATTTGCGGGGATAGGTTGAACCCGGCAAGGCATCTGCCACGGCTCAAGCAGGATATCAGGAATATCGGGAACTTCAAAAGCCAACCCACTCACCTCCGAAGCAATCTGAATCACAGAATTCAACGAGTGGAGTCGACCAGTCAACTCAGACACTTGGGCTCTCATCACATTATTATCGGATGAGAAATTGATGTAAAGCTGTGTGGCCCCATCAATCATCTGCATAACCTTTTTATTCTCCTCTTGCAATTGGCCCACTTGAGCAACAAGCTCATCCAAGCGTTGCTGCTTTTTCATTCGAGACCTTCGGGCAGATTCACGGTTAGACAGCTTCCTCTTTCTCTTGCGTTCGTCCAGATCGGAGCTCGAGCTTGCCGGTTGTGGCTTTGAAGACATTTTGGTCAGGGGGGATTCGGGGTACTAGCAACTTATTAAATTAGGGTTTTTTTCTTGGTTGTAATCGGAGGAAATTGGAGTAGACGATTGGGTAATGAAAAATTGGGGAATATATTGCAATTTAGGGTTTCAGAGCTAGTTCATGAAAACACATAGAACCAGTACAGGAATACGACTGAGAAAGAGTGGAGGATCCTAATCCGGCGCATAAAAATGTGGAACGTCATAAAAGCCCCAACATGGAATTGAATATTTGTAATTTCAATTCACGAATTTGCGTGTGAAACCCTAGATCTGTAATCGGGATTGAAGAATCTGTCGGTGGAGAAATGATCTGCAAACAACAAGAGAAGATACGAACACCAAATTTCAACTATCAATCAACACCAATTCGAAACACAACATGATCAATCCATTGCATAATTAATTAACTGAAACAGAACCACGTCAAAACGACAAAAAAATACATGG